TTTTTTTTTTAGTATAGGGTCTAACTACGTAGATACAACTCGTAGTGATTCTCCTGTTTCCAACCTTCCAAATGTTGGGATTATAGGCGCATGCCACCACGCCCAGTCTCAGATGTGCACTGGGAGCAGGCCCAGCAGAGCACTGTACAGGCATTTTGATGTATATTTTTGGAATTGAAAAATTAAGCAGTCTTACCAAATTTAAGACCTTGCAGTTCTAACTCCCTGATAAAACTACCTTTTTTCTTTAAAAAAAAAAAAAAAAAGATGTCCATGCACTGTTAACTCTCTGTAATACCTCCCTTACAAAGCCTCTGTGCAACCTGCATGCTTTTGATCTTTTTGGTGTATTTAGTCCATGCTGTTCATCCAGTTTTTGCACATGTAGCTGACTGCCTTGGACTTCATATCTCCTACATTCCTTTCCCCCCCTACTAAAATAGAAGCTTAGGATATAAACCCTAACACAGCAGAAAATAGTCTGCCTGGTTATACACTATGCATAGTTCCATATGGGGCAACTAATATTGACAGACAGAAAAACATAGACTTCACAAACATGAACTGAGAGGAGATAATTGAATGTAGATAAGATAAAAATAATAAGGGCTAGGGAGATAGCTCAGCGGTCTAAGCGCCCTGTCTGGCAAACACAAGGACCTAGATTCGATTGTTGGTACCACATGCCATGCCGGCCCCCAGAACTACAGGCATGCCATGCTGCCTGAAACCAGGCAGGGTGTTGTATGCCTATAATCTCAGTGCTGGGGGAGCTGAGACAGAATCACTGTAAGTCTGAACTGCCTAATGAGATACTGAACCTAATTAATTAATTGATTTTATAAGTTTAAAAAATAAGAAAAAGAAAATACTTCCTGCCTGGGATTGAAGCTGTAGGTGCAAGCACAGTTTCTCTGCATGCAGTTAAAGTCATGGGCAAGCCCTTCACCATTTCCCAAGGTTGCTATGAGGCAGCTATGGTTTGCTCAAGATAAGATGTATACTCCTGGGGCTGGAGAGATGGCTCAGTGGTCTAAAGCACCTATTTGGAACAAGCTTGGCAAAGCACAGGGACTGCGGTTCGATCCCCCAGCACCACATGCCAGCCAGCCGTGCCCCCAGGTGCACCATCTTCACTTGCTCAGGCAGTTTCTGCAAACTGAGATCCTAATCTTGTTTGAACTTGGAGAAAAGAGTTGTATCTTAAAGTCATCATTCCATTCTTAACCTTAAATACCTCTGTCTGAGAGACTACTTAGCTCAACCGAAAGTAACCTACCAGTTCACTGTCAAATATGCCTGATTTCTTTATATTTGCGGTTATTGTTTGTTTATGTATTATCCAACATTCCCACAGTGGATTGTCAGTATCCTATTTGTGTTAAAATCTTAAATTTTAAGATTTTAGAGCCTATTGCACTACCTAATTACCTAGTGGGGTCTCAAAAATTCTTGAACAAATGGTAGTAAGGGGCTGGAGAGATAGCTCAGTAGAATAGGCACTTGCCAAGCGCAAAGGCCGGAGTTCAATCCCCGGTTCCAGGAAAAAAAAAAAAAGAATGATGGTAAGGACTACTTTCTGAGTATATTCCACAGTATTTTTTGGTTTTGGTTTTTTTACAATCAACACTGGTAACATGGACAACCATGGTTTCTATCTTCCATTGCCAATGGTGTTTTCATCTTATAACTGACTACAGTTACAGCAAACTACTGAGTTTTGTTGCTTGGTCTAACTAACTCTATTCTGAATTTCTCAGACTGGGGATATAGCTCAGCAGTCTAAGCGCCTACATGGTAAGTGCAGGGTTCTGAGTTCAATCCTGATACCAAAAAAAAAAAAAAAGAATTTCTCCTTGTACATTATCATACCAATTAAAAAAAAAAGGCAGCAGTAGGGCCGGGGAGGCAGCTCAGTGGAATAAGCATTTCCCTGTCAAGCGCAAGGGCCTGAATTCAATCCCTGGTTCTGCAAAGATAAAAAGGCAGCAGTAACAGGCAGAATAAAGGATAGTGCTTAGTTCTAAATTAGCTTACTATGGTAGTTAATTTAGTTAAATGAAACAACAATTTTGTAAATGTAGTGTGTTTGTGTTTTCGGTTTACAGCCATCTCAGTCAGTGATCATGTAGCCCTTGCTCAGTTCTGCAAAGATGAGAAAATTGAATTTGTAGTTGTTGGACCAGAGGCACCCTTGGCTGCTGGTAAGGTTCATTTCTGTGTAGTGTCTATGCAGTGCCAACAAGAGCTTTAAGATTATCTAACCCAATTTATTTTACACATCAGAACTGTGTTATGTCAGAAAAGGATATTTCATCCTCTTGAAATTTATAGGTTTTATATTTTTTCCCCAAATATCAGTAATAAGATGATGTACAAATGAAATTTGTTGCCATGAGAAACATTTTGTATGTCTATTCTGGTGTCCATTTAATAATCTATACACTCAAATATAAGCTTTGCCTGTCTCTTTAACCCCATATGGGGTCTTGCTGTGTTACCAACACTGATCTCAAACCTAAGCAGTACTGCCTCAGCCTACTGAGTAGCTGGGAATGCAGGTGTACACCCGCCCCTGCCCTTTTGCTGGATTGAATCACTGCTTAGTAGCATTTTGTTCAAGGAGACACCATGAAAAATGTAGCCTGTGTCATCCATTATTTGCCCTGTCTGAATAGAGCTTTAGTGTAATGATAATTTGGACTCATTCTAAAAGGTCCCTGGAAAGACCCTTGGTAACTTAAGCCACCGATCACTTCCATAGGAATTGTTGGGGACCTGACCTCTGCAGGAGTGCGATGCTTCGGCCCCACCACAGAAGCAGCTCAGTTGGAGTCCAGCAAAAGGTTTGCCAAAGAGTTTATGGACCGACATGGAATCCCAACTGCACAATGGAGAGCTTTCACCAAACCTGAGGAAGCCTGCAGCTTCATTGTGAGGTAAGAAGGCTGCCTCCTAAGGACAATTGTTCTGTTAGGCTGTTTAAGTATAGTCACTTTCATGTAAGTTATTTCCTCCTAACACCAAAACAGTAAAGTTCTATGCATATGCAACATATATAATCTTGTGACCTTACAAAAACATGCTTATTAGTTTTAATGTTTATTACTCCTAGATGGAAAATATAATGTACAGTGCAGCGCACCCTTGGGTTATGACTGACCTGACATACAAACAGGTTGGGTTATGACCAGCAATTGTTAGCTTTAACTTACAGTCAGTCTTGAGCCATGAACCAGATGGCCCTTTGTGCTTTCAGATGCTCTCAGAAACAGATTTAACCCTTGAAAAGAGTTCTGGCGGGAACATTACCACATCCTTTCCCATAGGGGGTTAACTGAGAAATCCCTCACCAGTGTCTCCCTAAGGACACTGAGGTCTACCTGAGTAAGGAGAGACTTTGAAGGCTGTATAGAGGAGCCTGAGCCTTCATTTGACAGCTTGAGTTACAACCAGCTCTTAGAAATACAGGTTTGTAAGCCAAGGGTCGACTTATGATTGTGTAAGTCATGTGTTCTTTTCAGAACCAACTTGACAAACGGTACCATCTGTTGTCATAAATAATCAATAAAAAAGTCATTACTTGGTCAACAGCCACCACTACTCTACTCTAAATCTTAAAATTGTCTATCCTTTGTTCCCATATTTATGTGTGGAAAATATTGAGTAATCACTGCTGTCAGACACATGCCCTTGCCCTTTTTTTTTTTACAGCAAACATTTATTTTTAAAGAGAATGTAGGGCTGGTGAGATGGCTCGGTGGTCTGGAGCACCTACTTAGAACAAGTTCAGCAAAGCACAGGGACCGCGGTTCAATCCCCCAGCACTACATGCCAGCCAGCCCCGCCCCCTGGTGGGCTGAGCTGGCCACACACACACACACACACACACACACACACACAAATAAATAAAATTAAAAAAAAAGAGAGAGAATGCAGAATTTCTTTTTTTATAATTTTATTGAGAAATAAATAGCAGTGAGACAGTTTCAAATCAAACTGGTAGGACAGTTTCAATAATTAACACATTGCATACTGTCTTCCTAGTGGTTATTTGTTGTACAAGATGCAGACATGATATCCTATTTACAAACACTATTAGAATAAATACCTCTATTCATTGAATTAAGAGAATGTAGCTGTATAACTATCCTAACCATTTTGAATACACAGATACAAAGTGGAAATTAATCTGTACCCTATTCTTTTGTTTAGTTCCGTCATTTAAATATTATAGGTGTGTGAACTCAGCAAAATACTGCAAAATAGTCCAGTAGTCCATAACAGTATTGGGTCTTCCGCTTGACTGGCAGTGTCAGAAGTTGTTGACCTGAGTCCCCTACAGCTCAACATAACAACATGGCTTTACTTCTTATACTTCGTTTTTATACTTTTCTGCTGGATGGTTAAGACCAAGATAAAGCAAGACCTATGTAATAAGAATTGTAGCTTTTGTATCTGATAAGGTCAGTCAAATCCCCTCAGGATTTATCCTGAGACCCTGTACCTGAGATTGTAGATCCTTTGTCACTGTCAGCCATGTGGATAAGTCATGGCCATTGCTTGGCCAATTTGCTCTCTGTGAAAGGCTGAGAGAATGACCCTTTCCCTTTTTTGTTGACACTTCCTGCTACCTAGTGTTTTCCTTTCAGTTAAGTCAACTTCATTCTTTATTCTACAGGGTTTCTTAGATACTGAATATTATTAGTTCCTAGTAGCCAGACACCTTGGCCAAGTAACAGTTTTTTTACTTACTTTGGGTAAGTTTCCTTCCAGATCCCAGTCCCACTGCCAAAGATAATCTCTATGTCCATGCTTACATAAGAATTCTACAGCTTCATCTTTTGCTTAAATGAAAATGTTTCATCATTTTGTATGTAAAGATCATTCCACATCTCGTTATATCTACTTATTCTTCCAAAGATTTTGCTTGTGTGATCTCATTTAAGTTTTTTTAAAAAAGGACAAAATTACATCCATTTGATCATAACTATAAAAGAATGCATCAGAGAAAAATCCTGGCAAGATGCGTATCAAAATGGTGTTAAAATAATAAGTGATTTTTCTTTCTTTCTGCTTTTCAGTTGTTGCAATAGCGTATTGTTATAAATTTGCAAAGCATTTTAAAATTCTGAGCTGCAAGGTACGTGCACTGGATGTTGAAGGTTGCTCTGTCTTTACAGTGCTGACTTCCCCGCTCTGGTTGTGAAGGCCAGTGGCCTTGCAGCTGGGAAAGGGGTGATTGTTGCAAAGAGCAAAGAAGAGGCCTGCAAAGCTGTACAGGAGATCATGCAGGTAACTGATTCTTCTGAGAGGTTTATTTTCTATTTGCACACTGGTTAAAAGTTTTAAAATCTGGGCTGGGAATGAGGCTCACTGGTAAGAGTGTTTGCCTACCATGTGCAAGGCTCTGAATTTGATTCCCAGCATCCAACACAAAAACACAAGATCACTCCTCATGAGTGAAACACGAATGGTCTGACAAACCTGTAGATTGCCGAGTTTCACATTGACAGGTTAAATGGGGAACCGTAATGCAGTAATGGGCTAACCACAATGTTTACCGGTGTAGGAATCCTTTGGTTTGGGGATGAATTTGTGCGCCAGGCCCATCTCTGTGTGCTTGCATCCAACTGCAGTGAGCCTATGTATGTAAAGTTAGTGCAGGCCCTTAGTGCTGAGCACCAAATCAACCTAATTAAGGTTGACGACAACAAGAAACTCTGGTAATGGGTAGGCCTCTGTAAGATTGACCATGAGGGAAAACCCCCATAAAGTGGTTGGTTGCAGTTGTGTGGTGGTTAAGGATTATGGGAAAGAATCACAGGCCAAGGATGTCATCGAAGAATACTTCAAATGCAAGAAATGAATGAATAAAAATTTTGGTTCACTTTAAAAAACAAAAAACACAAGAGCTTGATGAAATGACACACGTAATCCCTGCACTGGGAAGGCTGAGACAGGAGGCTCACCACCATGTTCAAGGCCAGTCTGGACTACATGATGAGGCTGTGTCTCAAAAGAACAAAAATACCTGGGTGTGGTGGTGCGTGTCTATAATCCCAGCACTGGGAAGCCTGAAGCAGGAGGATCACCATGAGTTCAAGGCCACCCTGGACTACATAGTAGATTCAAGGCCAATCTAGACAGTAAGAACCTATTTCAAAAAGAAAAGCCAAACATAGAGCAAAAACAGATAAGGAAAACCCATGTAGCAAACACAGGTAAGCTATTTTTTCTGTAATACTGTTATAATCTGGCTGTAAAATACGTATTACGAACTAACTTTTGAAGCAAGTTCTAATATCCTACAATGACATCTACTTAAAAATAGGAAACCCTCAGCCTGTAGAACATGCAAATAAATTCTCAAACCATCTGTGACAACAGAAATATTTGAAGGTAGATGTCTTGCATGTCACAGGTCTAACAAATGGAACAATAAATGAATGTACTTTTTATTTTATAATCCATCTTTTTTTTTTTTTTTGCGGAACCGGGGATTGAACTCAGGCCCTTGGCACTTGCCAGGGAAGCGCTTATTCCACTGAGCCATCTCCCCAGCCCCAATCCATCTTGATAGTTACAGTTTTACCCTCAGAGACATGCATTTGTGTGAGTGCGTGAGTATAATTATTACAGGCAAACATATACTCAAGAGTAAATAGTAAATGATGAGAAAGAAATTATCTGCTTTTCCCCTATTTGAAATTAGAAAGCCACATTCTAATTAGAGCAATATTAGCTCTTCATCATTGCCACATTAAAAATTTGAATATCCCTTTGTTCCTTTGAGCCTTTCTGAAATGGAAAGAGACATAACAATATCATGTTTACTCATAATACAAATGGTAGGCAATGACAAAGGCCAACTAAGTAAGTGTTAAAAGCTTCTGGTTTACCAAGCCCTTTTTTCTTCTTCTTGCAACCCACAATTAGGAAAAAGCTTTTGGAGCAGCTGGAGAAACAGTTGTAATTGAAGAACTTCTTGAAGGAGAAGAGGTGTCTGTACGTATACACATCTTTTCAAGTTTTGTTCCTTGTAAGAGTCTGATTCCTGATCAGTGCACCCCACCCAGCTCCCATGTGTAGCTGCAAAAAAAAAAATCCTGATTTGTTGCTGTTGCTTCATCTAAAAACGTAAACCCATCACATATAGATGAATAAATGTTATTTGGCATGCAAAGGAGAAAAGTATTTTTCCTTCAACCATTCTCTTAGTACTGTACACAAGCATTTATCACACAGTATTGAGGTTTTAGGAAAGGCATTCATGCTTTTTCTTTCAGCTGCAGTTTATTATACAATATAAACAGTGAGTTTAATTCACCTTAAAGTTTTACTGCCTGGAAGCTTCATGATCAGAAAGATTAAAATAGATTTTAAAAAGATTAAAAAAGATTAAAATAAATTTTTTCCTCAAAAATTACAAATTATTTACAAGTATACAGGATCTTGATGTACGTGTAGTTTAGGGTTACTGAAAATTTCCATAAATTTTCCTTCAGTTAAAAAAACATTTCTAAGAGGAGTGAAGGTACATATAATTCACCATCTGAATTAACTGTACCTTTGACTTTAACCTAAATGGGCTGTTTTCTTCATAGTGTCTGTGTTTCACCGATGGGAGGACTGTGGTCCCCATGCCCCCAGCACAGGACCATAAACGATTACTGGAAGGAGACCTCGGACCCAACACAGGGGGAATGGGAGCCTATTGTCCAGCACCCCAGGTACTTTCCAGAAGCTCTGCTTAACTTCAGTAGGAATTGTTTAAATTTCTCAGAAAGCTCTTAGGTAATGCTTTGCTTTGTTCTTTTGTTGTTTTTGCGAATTCTGATAATCAGCAATTTAGTAATGTATTTCTCTCTTAAAATAGTCTCCTGCTTTGTTTCCCAGGCTGGCCTTAATTTGCAGTCCTTATACTCCCAAATAGCTAGGTTTACAGGCATGTGTTAAATGAAAAGTATCTCTCTGGTCTTTAAAATTAACATTTTATCAGAAAGTTTGGACAATTAAAATAACCAAACTAATTTTAAACCAGTCTAGAATATAGAGGATTGGGTAGGTCTTCCCATCTCCTCCTTTCTACTCCAGATTTTTTTTCCCTTTTTTTTTTTTTTTGCACTGTGGAGCAAACTCAGGACCTTGCAATTGGCTAAGCAGGCACTTATGCCGCTGAGCTATCTCCCCAGCAATCTACTCCACAGATTTTTAATCCATAGAATTTATTGGATTAGCAAATTAAAGTTTTGTTTGTTTTAGTTTGGTTTTTTTTTTCCAGGCACAACACATACATTTCATAAGTGGTGGGGTGGGGAACAATTCAGGAAGCAGGGCAGACCACTAATCTTTCAAAATACTTCAAAATTGATGTTTTCAACGAATTCTTAGTCGGGTCATCATGGGGATTTTTAAAGTTTATGAACTTAACGTGCGCAGCATTTCTCAGATAGTAAAAAAACCAATAATTCTCATTGTCCTTTGGAACCACTTACAAGAGTAATTTTTTAAAAGTGCCAGTTACATTTAAGGTATTCCTGGCAAGGCACAATGGCACACACCTGTAATCCCAGTGCTCAGGAGGCTGAGGCAGAAGAGTCGCTACAAGTTTAAGGCTAGCCTAGGCTACACAGTGAGACCTTGTCTCAAAAAGAAAAATAAGAGTATTTCTGTATGTTTGCCAGGTTTCCAAGGATTTGTTACTAAAAATTAAAAATACTATTCTTCAGAGGACAGTAGATGGCATGCAGCAAGAGGGCACTCCATACACAGGTAAGCTCATCAGTGTTAACATGGATATCATTTCAGTGTAATTTTTCACTTTTGATAAAACTTCCCCATTGTCTTTTTTCCTGTCATGTTTTAAATGTCCACTATTGTAATGTTTATCATTATTCTAAAACCTCAAGTAAAGAGCTGGCCAGATAGGTCAATGGATTAAAGCGCCTGCTTAGGCAGTCCCAGGGAACACGGTCCGATCCCTGTCATGTAGTGCTAGCCCCGCTCCCAGGGCCCACCCCTGGGGCACACTGAGACTGGTGACTGAGGCTGGGCATGGTGATGCGTGCCTGTAATCCCAGCACTTGGGAGGCTGAAAAACAGGAGGATCACTATGAGTCCAGTATGTGTAGTAAGACCCTGTAGATCCTGTAGACTAAATACATAAAATAAAACCTCAAATAGGGCCAGCAAGATAGCTCAGCGGTCTAAAGCACCTGCTTAGGCAAGCATGCAGGTACCGTGGTTCAATCCCTGATATTATATACCATGCCAGCCCACTTCCAGGGTGGGCTGAGCTGGCCACAAGATAAGTAAAATAAAACCTTAAGTATTATAAGTTTGTATTCTAGGCTTTACAATCAAAATATGTCTTCATTACAGATTACCTTCTCTTCTTCCCTCCCCCCCCCATCTCCATCATTTTTTAAAAGGAATTCTGTATGCTGGTATAATGCTGACGAAGGATGGCCCAAAAGTCCTGGAGTTTAATTGCCGTTTTGGTGATCCAGAGTGCCAAGTGGGTAAAAATAGTTTAAGGTACTGTCGTAGGGCCGGGGATATAGCTCAGCGGCATAAGTACCTGCCTGGCAAGTACACAGTCCCAAGTTCAATCCCTAGTAACCATTAAAAAAAAAAAGATGCTAAAGTACTACTTTTTGGAAGATATTTGTGTTACTTTTAGGATTTTTCAACCTTGAAATAATTACCTTTGAGAAACATACAAAAGTTCTGCTAGTAACCCAATGAATAAAACGTTTTAAGAAAACTGAAGTCAGGGTGTGTTGGTACATGCCTGTAATCACAGCACAGCACATAAGGAGCTGAGGCAGAAGCACTGCTAGTTCAAGGCCAGTCTGAGCTACATAGTGAGTTCGAGGCCAGCCTAAACTGCATAGCAAGACTTTTTTTTAAAAAAAAAGGCTGAAAACAAGAGGATCACTGCGAGTCCAGTCTGTGTAGTGAGACCCTATAGACCCTGTACTAAATACGTTTTTAAAAAAAATTTTTTTTAAACTTAATCAGTCATTTTTATTGTTTTTCTAGGTAATTCTCCCACTTCTCAAAAGCGATCTTTATGAAGTGATTCAGTCTACCTTAGATGGCCTGCTGGGCGCATCTCTGCCCATTTGGCTAGAAAACCACACTGCAGTGACAGTCGTCATGGCAAGTAAAGGTTATCCTGGAGCTTACACCAAGGGCGTGGAGATAACAGGTGAACACTGTATGATCACAGTATGACAGTGACTGATGCCCCCACAGGCTGCCCTCCCATACATGCCATCAGAAACTTCTTCAGGGTCCCTAACCTATTGCTTATTGAGTATATGTGTTCAGAGATCCAAACCTATAAGACTTTTAAAGTTCTGTCATCATCTCCTTGTCTGCATAATGAAACATGACTCACCCATACACCTTCTCAGAGTCCCCCCCAAAGTAGCCTTTCATTTCTACCCGCCCAGAGCCAGGAGAGTGTTGGGCTGTACCCAAGGCAGAGGAACGTTAGTGTTGACCTCATTTGAAAGAGACATGCCACAGAGGCCTGCTGTCTGGATATCACTCGTGTATACAACCTCATGCCTTTTGACTTCTTAGTCTATGGTGTACACCATAGGCATTCAGGTAGCTGAGTTCAATTTTTAAAAGTATAGCTTTCTCTTCCCTTATAAATTCCAGTGCAGGGCCAGGGAAATGGCTCAGTAGAATAAGTGCTTCCCTGGCAAGCACAAGGGCCTGAGTTCAAGCCCCAGTTCCACCAAGAAAAAAAAAATTCCAGTGCAATAATCCCTCTGTGACCCATAGCAATCTATAGTTTTGGCCCTTCTAGGACCCCAGTAATGTGTTTGAGGCCAGGCATGTGGGCATATGCCTGTAATCCCAGCACTCAGGAGGCTGAGACAGGATAGTTATGTGTTGAAGACCAGCCTGGGTTATGTAGAGAGTTCAAGGTCAACCTGAACATGCATAGTGAGACTGTCTTAAAAAAAAAAATGTAAATGCAAATTCTGTTGTGTCTTAAAATATTACAGTTGTTACATAGGGAAAAGATTACTTAGAAATATATTTTGTACTGTAGTTGACTATCTTTAAAAGAAAGAAATCAACTTTACTTGAATCACTGTAATAGGGGTTAGGGAGATAGCTCAGTGGCCTAAGTGCCTGCGTGGCAAAGTGCAATATCCCAAATTCAATCCCTGTTACCCAAAAATAAATAAATAAATACTCTTCAATGACTGTAATAAAGAAAAAGTCCTTTTAGTCTTAAGAGATGTGATCAAATGAAAGATTTATTTACTGCTGTTTAGGTTTTATTTATTTTTTTTTTTTATCTTTTACTTTTGAAGGGAAATTTACTTTGTACTTTTAAGTCTAAAATCATTTAGGCTTTCGTTCCCTGCCCCCATTTTTTTCTCTCTTATTGACAAAATAGTTTTTATAAGGTTTAATATAATAAGGTTTTAAGAACATAGTTGTCATTCTCAAAGAGAAGTGTTCTTTTTGGGCCAGGGATATGTGGCACAGCACCTGCCAGGCAAGCACAAGCTCCTAAGTTTGATTCCCAGTACAAAAAATAAATTAAATAAGACTTTAGGAGAAATTAATTTATCTTAGTTCCTGCCTGGTAACTTTTTTTTTGTTTTGTTTCGTTTTTGTTTGTTTTTTAGGGAAGGGTCTACAGGTTGTTCAGGGTCACTAGATTGGACTCGTAGTGATCCACCTATTTACACCCTTTTAAAAGCTGGCATCACAGGCGTGCACCACCATGCCTAGTCTCTGCCTGGTAACTTTTTTTTTTTTTTTTTTAATTTTATTTGTGTGTGTGTGTGTGTGTGTGTGTGTGTGGCCAGCTCAGCCCACCAGGGGGCGGGGCTGGCTGGCATTTGGTGCTGGGGGATTGAACCGTGGTCCCTGTGATTTGCTAAGCTTGTTCTAAGTAGGTGCCTTAGACCACTGAGCCATCTCACCACAGGGAGGCTAAGTTGTATAGCTCTGGAATAGAGGCTCCAAATTCAATCCCTAGTACTGCAAAAAGAGTAAAAAGCTGTTGTAAATGGTAAATTTTTATTTCCAATCATGCATCAAATCTGCTCTCTTCCAGGCTTTCCTGAGGCTCAAGCTTTAGGACTAGAGGTATTCCATGCAGGCACTGCCCTTAAAGATGGAAAAGTAGTGACCAGCGGCGGTAGAGTCCTTACAGTAACAGCAGTCCAGGAAAATCTCAAATCAGCTCTTGAGGAAGCCAAGAAAGGACTCGCTGCTATAAAGTTTGAGGGAGCTGTTTATAGGAAGGACATCGGCTTTCGTGCCATAGCTTTCCTCCAGCACCCCAGGTAAACATCTTCCAAGGTAGCAGTTAGAGTGACTTTTCAGAGCTGCTCTAGATGACTGTAGAAAAGTTCATCTGTATTCTGTATTCTATTCTGTATTCTTTTCTCTTTGTGGGGCTGACCTGATCTTAATTTGCATTTCATTTGAATCAAAACTGCAGCAGTATGCAAATTAAATGGAAAAACTTCAAGGTAGCTCCTTATGCTTGAAAAGTTTTTAATTCCTTATGTCTTCACAGAATATTGTTGTGTTGAGTCATACTTGTTAGTTTTGTCCAAGAACTCAAAATGAGAATATTGGTCATATAACTTTCTAACTTAATTACCCTGAAAACATTGGCAGTCGCCATTTTGCACTGCATTTTTATCTGTTACTGAATGTTTTTGATCTCTCATAGGTTCATTTGTTTACATGTACAACTATGCCCTTTAAACTCAATAAACTATGCATTGCTCCGTGCTTTCGTTTCTTCTTTGTCTTTGGGTTTTGTGGGGCTTCTTGTTTGTTATTGAGGCAGGTTCTTGCTAGGTGATTCCTGCTGGCCTTGAGCCAACTATGTAGCCCACACTGGCCTCAAACTCACAGCTATCCTGCCTCAGCCTCTTATGTGCTGGGACTACAGACTTGCACCACCACACCTATTCTGTCTAAGAGTATATCACATCAGCAGGGGATGGTGGCTAGTGAATTCAAGGCAAGTCTGAATTGCATAAGAAGACCCCATCTCGAAAACAACTATATGTCACATTTACTGATTTTTGCTAAGTTCATCTATTACTAGTATATTTTATCTTTTTTTGAATAATATATTTTAGAGCAGAAAAAAAATAATTTAGCAGCTTAACTCAAGCTGTACTACTAGAAGGCAAATTTTTAAGATGATCAGTAACAATAGAATGCCATCCAAAAATTTTGTCATTTAAAAATGACTATAGAGTGCTTAGAAATTACATGTTTCAGGGGACTGCAGTCTTTTGTTTTATTGTTTTTTTGCAGTACTAGAAATTAAACCCCGGCCCTTTACACTGAGCTATTTCCTCACCCCATCTCACCTTTCCTTTTTGAGACAGGGTCTTGCTAAGTTGAAATTGCTCAGGAAAACTTGAACTTACAAATCTCCTATTATTAGCTTCCCAGGTGTACCACCACACCTGGCTAAGAAACTCTAATTTTAGCTTGATTTCTTTACTTACTTATTTAGTACTGGGAATAAAACTCAAGGCCTTGTGCTTGCCAGGCAGTGCTGTGCCACCAAGCTACATCCCCAGCCCAGGTTAAGGTCTTCCACTTAAAGGTGAAGGAAATGAGATGGTGCAGCACTGTTTGTTACCTAAGTCTTTCAAACCAGTCAGACTTTGTTTCCTGCCTAAGAGTGGCTGGTGCTACTGACTGGACTAATCACCAGTGCTCTCACTCTAGCTGCACCCTGGCAGGTTGTTTTTAAAAGCTCAATTTAGGCTAGGGACATAGCAGCACAAGTGCCTGCCTGGCAAGCACAAGGTACCAAGTTCAAGTCCTGGTAACAGAAAAAATGTTCAGCATAATTCTATACCTGTCATTATGCCCCATTAAGCCAGTGTTCTCAATATTACTGAATTTGTAATCATTCCCAAACTTCATCTTGTAAACTGCGTTATGAATATCATAACTTGGTCTTGTTTTTCTTCCTTGAACTTGTTTCTTACTGTAAGAAAACTGATAAGGTTATGAATTTGTATTGTTGCAATAAGAACTTAGTTTGATTATTTAGGAATGTCCTAAATTTTTTATTTGGCTTTAGTTTTTTAGTTTTTTATTTTATTTTATTTTGTGGAACAGGGGATTGAACTCAGACCCTTGTGCTTTGCAAGGAAGCACTTATTCCACTGAGCCATCTCCCCAGCTCCTTAGTTTTTTATTTTGTGATTCTAAAGGATTGAACCTGTGGGTGTACTACCACTGAGCTTCAGATCCTCAGCCCCTTTTTGTTTTTTAAATTTTGAAACTAGTCTCACCTACTAGCCAAGGCTGTACTGAACTTCTTACTAGTTTTTTGTTCTGTTGTTTTGGAGACAGGGTCTCACTATGCAATCCAAGCTGGCCTTGAACTCACTATGTAGCCTAGGTTAGCCTTGAACTCACTGCAATCCTCCTGCCTTAGCCTGCCAACTGCTAGGATTACAGATTTGCACCATCACACCCAACCACAATGTGTAAAGATCCTTTCACCCTAGTTTTCTTTTTGCCTCATGCATACTAAGCAAGTGCTCTATCATTGAGCAGGAAGAACAGTCTCTTTTCACATTTTACTGCCCATCCCAAAACTGAACCAAGAAAAGTGGAAGCAAAATATTACATTTAAAATTAGCATGGGGCCAGGGAGATGGCTCAGTAGAATAAGTGCTTGCCTGGCATGCACAGGGTCCTGAGTTTAATGCCTGGTACCACAATCAATCAGTCAGTCAATCAATAAAATTAGCATGAAGACAGCTTTGGTGGCACACACCTGTAATCCTAGCACTCAGGAGGCAGGGGCCAGAGGATTGCTGTGAGTTGAAAGCCAGCCTCTACTGCATAGTGACAGCCTAGCTCAAAAAGACCAAAAAAAAAAAAAGTCAGTGTGGTGGTTTGCTAAAGGCTAGAGGGGAAAGTATGAAACTGCATGGTTTCAGCTTTGAAGATGAATTATAGTGATGGTTACCTAACATGAATATATAATACCACTCAAATAATGTGGTAATTTCATTTGTATTTTATAATGAAAAATTTATTTTAAATTCAATGTATTTAGCAACCTGTGAGTATTTTTGAAAGAAGCAAGTGATGGGTCTAAATAGCTAATACAATAGAATGAACCAGAGAGGTTGAATAAGCACGCTTCTATTCCCAGGGCCCACCCAAGACCAGGTAAATGATAATCTGTATGGATGGGCTCTAGGCATTGAGTATTTTAAAATTTTTAATCTCTTAGTGGATGTGAAAAGCAGTTGGGTAGGGAGTAGTGGCCCCTGTAATCCTAGTACTCCAAAGGCTGAGGCAGGAGGATCTTCACAAGTTCAAGAGCAGCCTGGCTGCGAAGTGAGCTCAAGGCCAGCCTGAGCTACATAGTGAGACTCTGTCTCGAAAAGACAATAAGATAAAAAGTAGTTGGGCTGGATGTGGTGGTGCACAGCTTTAATCCCAACACTTAGGAGGCTTAGGCAGGAGGATCCTGTGAGTTTAAGACCAACTTGGGCTACATAGTTCAACGCCTGTCTGAACAGAGTGAGATCCTGTCTCAAAAAAAAGCACTTGGATTGTCTTCTACTTTTTTTTTTTTCTTTTTGGCAGAACCAGGGATTGAACTCAGGCCCTTGTGTTTGCCAGGGAAGCACTTATTCTACTGAGCCATCTCCCCGGCCCCTGTCTTCTACTTTAGAATGTGTTTTTTGTTGTTATTTTTTTGAGTTTCACTCTTTTTTTGTTGTTGTTGTTGTTGTTGTTGTTGTTGTTGTTGTTGTTGTTGTTGTTTTGAGACAGCATCTCACTGTGCAGTTCAGGCTGATCTTCTCACTTTTTGTAGCCCCCAGGCTGATCTCAAACTCATAACAATCCTCCTGTCTCAAATCTCTCAAGTGCTGGGATTACAGGTGTGTGTTGCCACACCCAGTTTCTTGAACATGATTTTTAAGATTAAACAAATTTCACCTGGTTTAAAGCTGATGTCTTAATGGTTGTTCTCATTTCTTTAGGAGACTAACTTATAAGGACTCTGGGGTAGACATTGAAGCTGGAAATACGCTGGTTAAGAAAATTCAGCCTTTAGCAAAAGCTACATCCAGGCCTGGTATGTCAAACTCTGACTTAATTTAATGAGTCCTATTACTTGCTAATTTATTAACTTTAGCAGGCATTGTAAATTGATTTGGGCTTTATATATAACAGGAAAATTTGCCAAATTAATGCCATGTTCCTCTTAAGTCTTGTCCTACTAACACCAAATCCATAATCTTGTGCTTTTTTGTCCCTTACAGAAAGCATTTATTATCTGTTTCTGCTTTTCTGATCAGTTCTTTGAGTACATGGTACTGTTTTCCCAAAAAGGCAACTCTTATTTGAGTTGCCCTTATGAGCAAGTGGCCAGAATATCATGTTGAACTGATATATTAAAATACAGCAAGTAACTAACTAGTGTTCCCTCTGACAGGCTGTGATGTTGATCTTGGAGGTTTTGCTGGTCTTTTTGATTTGAAAGCAGCTGGTTTCAAAGATCCTCTTCTGGCCTCTGGAACAGATGGTGTTGGGACTAAACTGAAGGTAATCAGACACCTTTTTGAATAAAAGGCTTCTTGTGAACAGTAGAGGGAATTACTGTTCATGAAGTATGTATTTTTTTCCATTGATGTATATATAGACTGAAAAGAGTCATACCAAGCAACCACATATTTTAGCCATATGACTAAAGTGTGCACACGTTTCTAATGGCAGAATATTATTGCAACTATATTTGGGTGGAAGAATGTTTTAAGGAATTAAAAAGGGTAATTTTGACCTAATCACAATCAGTTTTTCTTTTGTTTGGAGTGTTAAGAGCAGCTATGGGGTGGGGGGGCAGGAAGACAGCTCAGTAGAATAAGCACTTGGTGCAAGGCCCTGAGTTCAATCCCTGGTTCTGAAGAAAAAAAAAAAAAAAAAAACAGCTACGGAGACAGCTCAACAGTCTAAGCTCCTGTCTGGCAAGAGTAAAGACCTGGGATTGATCCCTGGTACCACATGCCGTGCCAGCCGTGTGCCAAGCCTGCCACCAAAACCAGACATAGTGGCACAGCACTGGAGAGGCTGAGATGGAGGATCACTATGAGTCTGTGCTGCATAGTGAGACTCTGTACCAAATAAAAATAATTTTTTTAAAAAAAGAACAGCTACCAAAGCCAGTGGTACTTGACAGCCTCTGAATAAATTGACGAGATATGGTATAGAGCTTATTCTCCAATGTGGATGTTTCTCTTACTCTTCTGTAGATCGCCCAGCTGTGCAATAAACACAGTACCATTGGTCAAGATTTGGTTGCAATGTGCGTGAATGATATTCTGGCACAAGGAGCAGAGCCCCTCTTCTTCCTTGATTATTTTTCCTGTGGAAAACTTGACCTCAGTACAGCAGAAGCTGTTGTTGCTGGAGTCGCTGAGGCTTGTAAACAAGCTGGGTGTGCTCTCCTAGGTATGATCATTTTAACCATGCATCTTCCTCCTTGTTGTATGTTAATCTTGTATAAACTTTGATCAGTGCCAGTATAACTAGTGTGAGAGACTATATCACAAAAGTGTGGCAAGTGAAATACAGATAGAACTCTTTTAAGTTAGTCTTAGACCCTTGCGCTTTGTCCACTGGGCCCACCCTCCTAACCTGTTAGGCAGGGTTGGGTCACTTCCTCCCTTCTGGCACCATCGCAGGACAAATAGGTTCCTAGCATTCTAATCTTAAACCATATTTTCCCACAAAAATGATATAAGGAATAAAATTATCTGAGTTTGATAGAAATACTGCCTAGGGCTGGCAAGACTAAGTGCCTGCTTAGGAAAGCACAGGTACTGGGGACCACATGCCACACCAGCCCCGCCCCTGCATGTGCTGAGCTGGCCACCAAGATGCACACCTGTAATCCCAGTGCTGGGGAGGCTGAAAACAGGAGGATCAACACAGGTCCCGGCTGTGTAGTAAAACCCTGTACCAAATATGTACTGTCTAACTATGTGTGAGATACTTCTAGTGGGATGAATTTCTAGGTAGCAAACCAAAGAAAAAAGCTGTCTCGTTACAATTTCTTTTTTGTTTTTTGTTGTTGTTTGTTTGTTTGTATTTTAGGGAAGGGTCCACAGAGTGTTCAAGCTGTCACTACTAGATTGGACTCGTAGTGATCTGCCTATTTACAGCCTCCCAAGAGCTGGGATTACAGGAGAGCGCCACCATGCCCAGTCTAAATTGTTGTCTCGGCCACCCCATGGGCGGAGCCAGCATGGCTGGGGTTTTTTGTTTGTTTTGTTTGTTTTTTAGCATGGCTGTTTTTGAGACAGGGTTTCACTATGTAGTTCAGGCTGCCCTTGGGTTCACTTTGTATCCCACTCTGGTCTCAAGCTCAAAACAATCCACCTGCTTCAGCCACCCGAGTGCTGGCAATACAGGTGGGTGCTGCTACACGCAGTTCAGCACTCAGCCATCCTTTGATGCAGTTTCTAATTTAGATTTTTGCCTGCCTCTACTTTCAGTCCTCACATGTTGTCATCAAAACATTATGTAGCTAGATATGTTGGCATACACCTATAATCTCAGCACTTAGGGAACTGAGGGAGGATAACTGCAACTCTAGGCCAGCCTGAACTGCATAGCAAGACCCTCCAAAAAAAAAAAATGATGAGACCCTATACCAAATAAATAAGTAAAAGACTTTTTTTTTTTTTTTTTTTAGAAATTCAGGGGGCCAGGGAGATGGCTCAGTAGAATAAGCACTTGCCTTGCAAACGCACAGATCTGAGTTCCATCCCTGGTTCCACCAAAAAAAAGTGTGTGTGTGTGTGTGTGTAATTTTTGGAGTTTGGCAGTCCTGATGGAAAATGGACTGAGTATAAAAATCTAGTGTATGTGAAATTATGCAAGCTTTTTTTTTTTTTCCTAGCTTCACCTGCCTAAGCTTGCCTAAGAGGCTTTTTAGGTCACTAAGCTATCTTGCCAGCCCTATGCAAATAACTTTTTGAAACTGTAGAAACGATGTTATGCTCAGTGAGCATTCACCCTTTGAAAACAACATGTTTGGAGACTGTATGCCCAAAGCTTGCAGGGGCATGACTGTCTCGTTCTTTGTAGGAATTAGTGCTGTCTCCCCTGAAATCATGTTTGGTTAAACAGTTGTGTTAGGCATCTGATAGAGTACAGGGTATAGCCGTTTAATTGTTTATGCTAAGAGTAGCTTGGGCCACTCTTTCCTAAGCAGATGTATAAACACATGACTTCTTTGCTCTTGTCTTACCCAAACAGGCGGTGAGACAGCAGAAATGCCAGACATGTACCCTCCTGGAGAGTATGACCTGGCAGGCTTTGCTGTCGGCGCTGTGGAGCGGGATCAGAAACTCCCTCGCCTAGAGCAGATCTTGGAAGGGGATGTCATTATTGGAATAGCCTCATCTGGTCTCCACAGCAATGGCTTTAGCCTTGTGAGGAAAATTGTAGCACAATCTTCACTGGAATACTCCTCTCTCGCACCTATTGGTTGTGGTGACCAGACTCTAGGTAAGCTGAGGCTACCCTGTCCTGTGTAAACACTTTGGGCAACCATGCTATGGGCCTAGTCTCCTAAGGCAGAGCTGGAATGCAGTGAACTTACAAGTGTGTGGCTTGCTGCTTGGACAGTACTTTAAACAGACCTGCTTTGTTTGTTCAGGATTGCATTCCTCACTAACTTCAAGTTCTATGTGTTTTAGTTTTGTACTTGTAGGCTAAACTTTTGTCTGGCCTCTCCAATCTCCAGGAGACTTACTTCTAACTCCAACCAGAATCTACAGCCGTTCACTGTTACCTGTCATACGATCAGGACATGTCAAGGCTTTTGCCCATATTACGGGTGGAGGATTGCTAGAAAACATTCCCAGAGTCCTCCCTAAGAAATTTGGAGTGGATTTAGGTAAGACCACCGACTTTTACTCAAAAGGCTTTTACTCAAAAAGTCACTGAAGAAGGGACCGGGAAGATGGCTCAGTGGAATAAAGGGTCTGAATTCAATCCCCAGTTCCACCAAAAAAAAAAAAAAAAAAAGTCACTGAAGGGCCAGCCCAATAGCTCTGGGGATTTAAGTGCCTGCAAGCAGGTGCAGGGGCTGGGGTTCATACCTGGGCCTGCTGCCAGCCCCACCCCTGGGGCCCGCTGAAACAGTAGTTGAGACTGGGCATGGTGACATGTGCCTGTAATCCCAGCTCTTGGGAGGCTGTAAACAGGTGGATCACTATAAGTCCAATCTAGTAGTGAGACCCTGAACACCCAGTAGACCCTTCTCTAAAATACAAAAAAAAAAAAAGTCACTGAAGAGGAGCTAGGGCTATATTTGCCTGACATGTGCAAAGCCCTTGGTTTTAACGCCAGCACCACAAAAAAAAAAAAAAGGAAAAAATGTACCACGGAGGAAACTCTAGACAGCTAGTATTATATGATTATACAGGGAAATTTCTTTTTTATTTTTAAGACAGGTTCTTGCTATCTAGTGCAAATTGCCTTTGAACTCATTTGTGTAGCCCAGGATGACCTTAAACTCACAGTGATCCTCCTGCCTCAGCCTGCCAGAGTGCTGGGATTACAAGCATATGCCACCACACCCTGCTGAAAAATTTTTATTCATGAAAGTTTACAGTATTATCCATATAGTTTAGGGATGCTTTTGTATGGAGAGTGTTATAGGACTGGTTTGTTTTGGTTTTTTTTTTTTATCCTAACCGTTTTTTTTCCCATAATTTTATGGAGAAACAAATAGCAATGAGACAGTTTCAAACCAAATTGGTAGGACAGTTTCAATAATTAACACATTGCATACATTCTTCTTAGTGGTTAATTGCTGTAC